CTGGTTTGTCTTCCCCAAATCGAAGAAAAGCACTGTTGTTTCATCATTTGGTCATGTCTCACTTGCTCAAACTGGAAAACAAAACAAAAACAAAACCCAAAAATCAACAAACTAGATAAGAAGAGAGAACAAGTATATACACACATTATGAGAGTCACTCACATGATTGGACTGTGAGGGGTTGTGAGAGAGGCACTGATTGGCATAGAAAGAGGTGTTGATGTTTTTCAAAGGCGGTGGAGCGAAAGACCAAGGAGGGTCGAGAGGGCCTCTGGCTTTGAGAGGTCCTTCATCGTTCATCTTCAACCTCGTCATTTGTCCCGTGGCCTCGTAAATCAGATCCCAAGAGTCGTTGTTTCCACCCGACGGCGTAGTCAGCGATGATCCATCGAACTCGGCGATCTACTTTTGTTCTTTACTTTGCTATTTGCGAAAGAGAAAGAAGATAGAGGCTTTGTGATCAGCGATTTGCGAAAGTCGAATAAAGAAGGGCGTCTGGTGGTGTGATCAAAATGAGGTAGGTAGAGAGAGAGAGAGAGACAAAAGTCAAATTTCTCTGATATATGTTTAGGGACCTTAGACATCAACAAATAATTTTGTAGATCTCTTCCATTACGAAAAGTGGGAGAGGGACCCTAGAGTAATTTTCCCTTAGATAAAATAGTAATATCTGTCAACATAGACCAAGCATATATATATATATATAATAGACCAAGCATATAATCATATAATGAGGTAACTTTTTGTCTTTTTGGCTAAAATATGAGGTAAAAAAAACTAGCATGTTTGGGGTGATTTTTTGATTTTTTACGAAAAGATATGCAAAACGTAGAGAGAAAAAACAATCTTTGACTTTTTGGTATAGGTTATAGGTTTTTTGACTTTTTTAGTAACTTTTTGACTTCTAGACTAAAACAGCTACTTGTCAAACGATACCTTATTAGATAATTTCTGGTGGTTAAAGTAGAAGTTTGATGGGCTGTTACCTGTATAAGTTATAGGTTTTTTGACTTTTTTAATAACTTTTTGACTTCTAAACTAAAACAGCTACTTGCCAAACGATGCCTTATTAGATAATTTCGGGTGGTTAAAGTAGAAGTTTGATGGGCTGCTACCAGAAGTACAGTGGGCTTTTTGATTGGGCCTATTTCATGTGGACCTAATACCCCTGAGGCCCATAATGGTTCCAAGTCCTTTGTTTTTGAACTACGATGGAACTTGGGACCAGCCTCTGTTAAAACATTTTTTGGACAAGGCTATTGTTTGTTTCGTGTTATTTTATAAGGCTTATATATATATATATATATCACAGTGTTTGGTATAATTTATACTTCCAGTTTATAAGACATATATAACTTAAATAATTTTTTTTAAAAAAATTATTATTGAGAAGAAGAAGAAAATGGTATTTTAATTTTAATTTTTTGATTATCAGCTTTTAATTTGTAAAAATTGCACCAAAAACCCCAAGGCAGATCCTTTATATTTACCAGTTAGGAAGTACTATTGTTTGTTAGTTCAATAGAGGTTTAGGTTCACTATGCAAAAATTAAAAATAAGATTAAAAAGAAAAATCAAATTGATGATAATCAGAACCAAAAAAATTTGTTACATTTGCCTTAAAGGTCTATGTTAAAATTCATACTTACGGTTTATTTTTAAAAAATCAAATCTAATAAACTTATGTGGCTACTAATCGATCATTATTTTTTTTCACTTGATGATCTACCCATAAAAAGCTACAAAATGAATAAATTAAATTGCTGAAGTGAACCCATAATGAGCCCAACCAATATAGTCAAGTTCATTTTGTGAATGGGAGAGAATGCTTTCATATTGGAAATTAGTTAATTAAATATCATCTTAGCAAGAAATTGCTTTCACAATAACTCCACTTCTTTTCCTCCATCATCTCAAGAATCAAACAAAATTTAAGATTAAAAAGAATAGTCTTTACACTCTAATTGTTGTGGGTCTGGAGATAATAAGATGTATATAAATTATTATCGCATGTGGTAGCCTATTTCTGTAGTTTGAACCTAAGTGACACTTGAATCAAAATGAAACAATTTTAAAATATATTTAACCTATAAATATTTATATTATTGTTTTTAGTTTACCATAATGACTTCAAAGCAGAGGTAGAGTACACATTTAATAAAATACAATTTGTACCCAAAAGAATTGTGTTCTGATGAATTTTCCTACTTGTGGCAAACACTAAGCAATTTTCTTGCTCATTTTCTCCAATTTTCTTTTCAGAATCTGACAAACAAACAGAAACATGTGCGACAAAATGAAATGCTTCGTAGGTTATATAGCCAAAGGCCACTCTGGACAACCTCTTAAGCTTCTTTTGTTATTTTGAAGTACCATTGCAGAAGAGAGATAACAGGTGTAGTGGGGACCCTAGAGTGTTTGGCCTTATTTCACTTCTCTTTTCTTCTTTTTTTTTTTTTTTTTTTGTATTTTTAAAAACAAATTTATAAAAAGTTTAAAAACACTTATCTTTTTATTTTTGTGCAAAAATAATCTTCAAAAATTCGAAAACTACTTTTATGTACTACCTAAAAAGTGGATTGTTTAAAAATGAAATTTCAAAAACAAATCAACAAATAAATTTATGTATTTCTTGAAAATTAAAATAGAAAGTGAAAGCACAACTAAATAATCCCTTATTGTAAGCTAACACTGTCCTAACGTCCCCAAGAGTCAATCACACAGGTCTCTAACGCCGGTAAGGCGGGCGAGGCCCTTCAATTATGTCTAAAAAATAGGGTCTTAAAATAATTTTGATCTTACGTTATATTTGGTTAATTATTTTGGTCTTAATTTATGTTTAGTTTATTAACATTAAGTTGAATAGAGTAATCATCTTATCATAATATTATTTTCACATTTGATTTACTAAAAAAGATAACAAACAAAATTATCATTCACCATTAATAGGGAATATTAATTTTATAAACTAAGGAATTCCATTCAATTCAATTTTATTTCAGTGAATCAAACATTACATTATAATATTAGTAGTTAAAAAATGAAGATTTAAATAAAAATTGAATTTGTTCACACAAAAATAAATAAATAAATAAATCAGTGAATTATTTAAGAATAATAAATAGTTGCTTATTAAAAGTATGAATTATTTATAAAATATTATTTGACTATACGAGTTAAGATTGCTTTTGGAGATTTTTTTTTTTTTTAAATTGAAGTTAATAAAATTTTATAATTTCGCTTACTACGTCAAGAAAAAGTGTAAATAAATTAATAATGTTGCTAATCAAAAATGTTCCAAATTTATTTCAATAATTATAATTTACGCCAAATAATCATGTGTGCCATATACAACAAATTTATAAAAATCAAAAAATAAAAATAAATTGAAAATATAAATTTATATTTTAAAATATATATGAGAGTCGAGACCCATCTTCTCAAAAAGTCGAGGTCTATAAACAAACCAAGTAATTAGAATTTGACTCATTCCATTTTGTGAACGCATTTTACTGTCTTGTAACTAAACTTAAATAATTTATTACTCAACTCAACTAATTTTATAAATTATAAAAATAAATAAATAAACTACTCAAGTTTAACTCTTAATTGATTTTAATTAAAATTCATTTAAAATCAACTCAAAACATACTCCTATTAAGCATGACTTAACTCATATTAAACTTCAAAAAAAAAAAAAAAAAAAAAAAAAAAAAAAAAAAAAAATTTTTAAAACCAAAAAAAAAAAAAAAAAAAAAAAAAAAAAAAAAATCAAAAAAAAAAGAAAAAAGAAAAGAAAGAAAGTAAAACTAATAAAATTTTCAAACCAAACATACAACTAACAAAGCTTGACTCAACACATTTGCGACCGTAAACCGTAATATCATGTCACGCATAAATTCTTAGGGACCCTAAAGGCTTAAATGAGAAGGGCCCGTTTAGGACCAGCCCTATTTAACAACCCTCATTAATATATTGTTATGATATATAGCTGTCCTCTGCAAATGGTGAAACAGAGGGGCTATGATCACTTTAAAATATTAATTCAGAGAAAGACACCGATTGGTTAAGAATTTACGTTTACCCTGGAAAATTGAGATTCTATTCCTGAGATATTTCAGATTAGTAGTACACAGACTAGTAGTGTTTATTTAACCATTAAAGGTACAAGTTCCCAATGCAAAGATTTTTTTATTAGATGAAAGAGAAATCACCTGAGAGATGCCAGAGAAAAATCAACATCAAGAAAGAAACTGTACAATAAGTGCATTCAAAGGAGGTTAATTTTCAAACTTGATAGAGGGTAAAACTTTCGGCTATTTTAGAAATTGACTTTTAATCACTCTTTTTTAATTTGTAAAGTTATTTTCAATTGTTCATCAAATTTAACATTAAATTTAAATTTGATAAAAAAAAATTACTTTTTATATTCCAACAGTTGCACCAAAATATTATCAAAATTGAGAAAATATCAAATATTTCAACAAACTGAAGACAACTTACTCATTTTACCAATTCACTGTGCATAACCGTTAAAACAGAAATTTGTAAATATTTTACACTACGGGATCGACCACCTTAGCATTTTTTCAAACAACAGAAATGAAAGCAAAAATTGAAAATTTACTCTTACCGGTCGACCTCCCGAACGACCCTCTCTGTTTGATGCACGCTACAGTGAACGATTAGAACTATTGATATCAAAATGAGAAAATTGACGTTTTTTTACTCAAATTTAGTAAAAAATTTATTCAACCGTTAGAGATACTCTAACAAAAATTAAAAATTGACTTTTTTGTATTATTTTTAATTTGAGAAGTTTGTTTTTAATTACTAGTAAAATTACAATTCTACCCCTCATGAATCAAAATGTGCTATGAGTAAAATCGTAAATATTTTAAATTAATAAAAATAGTTTGGTCATTTATTTGTAATTTGACATCATAAATAAATATTAATCAAAAAAATCAAAAACAACTTTTTACCAACTTTCTAAATCATTTGTCTAAAAAAATCAAAAACTTGATTAAAAGTCAGAAAGTTACTTTTTACCATCTTTTTAAAGTAGGCCTTTGGTGGCTAATTGTAGTTTTTACAATGTACAACCATACTTGGAACTCCATAGCAGCTTTCTCTCTTTAGAAAATGCACCACCCTCTACTAATACTTTCCTTTCTTTTCCCCCAAACACCAAGAGGGGATGAGAATTGATAACTATGCACCACCTCTAATAACACTTTCCTTTCTTTTCCCCCAAACACCAAGAAGGGATGAGAATTGAGAATTTACCTAATAAAAAAAAACAAAACAAAACAAAAAACAAGCACAATTTCTCTCCCTCCTCTCCTCTCATATCCATCATCAGTGTGACACAAAATTTCTCAAGCAACACTTCCTTGATCCGAGGCATCTTCGTAGTAATAGGGTGTCAATTTGCCATCTTTGCCGACCTTAGACTGGCTTTCGGCCCCCACTTCTTGCAACATTTTCACCACCCTCCTCATTGAGGGGCGGTTGATAGGGAGTGGGCTAGTGCAGAGGAGGCCGATGTTGAGGACTTTGCAAATCGATTCCTTGAAACAGGAATCGAGTTTTGGGTCGATGACATGGTCTATGCCTTTCTGGTCCAAAGTAGTGCATACCCACATCATCAGTGTGACACACAAAATTTCTCAAGCAACACTTCCTTGATCCGAGGCATCTTCGTAGTAATAGGGTGTCAATTTGCCATCTTTGCCGATCTTAGACTGGCTTTCGGCCCCCACTTCTTGCAACATTTTCACCACCCTCCTCATTGAGGGGCGGTTGATAGGGAGTGGGCTAGTGCAGAGGAGGCCGATGTTGAGGACTTTGCAAATCGATTCCTTGAAACAGGAATCGAGTTTTGGGTCGATGACATGGTCTATGCCTTTCTGGTCCAAAGTAGTGCATACCCATTTGACCAAATCTTTTTCCCCAAATTCAGGATCAACTGGGAGCCTCCCAGTGACCAACTCAAGAATCACAACACCGAAGCTGTATATGTCACTCTTCTCGTTCACTCGCAGTGTGTACGCATATTCTGCAAAGAACAAGTATATGTTTCATATGGAGATAAGAAAAGGAAAAACTTGAAATAATCACAACTAAAAAGCTTAGAGCATTTAAAAGTGACACTTGCTTGGACCGAATATAATATAGTAAAGTCTAATTTACAAAAATGCTATACGTCACCGTCTAGGTTTAAAAAGAAAAAAACAGAGATGGCGTATCACATTATTCAATTAGAATAATATTCTCAAATCCAAGTTTTGTGCTCATGATGAGCATACAAGTTAAAAGAGAGAAATTGAAACTAAATTGCAGTTATTTGCTCTTCCAAGTTCCAACTTGATCGGAATTAGAAAGATCAGATAACCACAATTATGTTAGTAAATAGAAAATAACCTAAAAATAACATTTCCATTTGAAGCTCAATGTTTTTAACGTGTGTTTTAGAACACAAATAGATATAGAGATTGCTAACTTACTATCAATGACTACAACAATCTAAGTTTCAAACTAATATAATCACGACTTGACTCATCGACTAGATCAATCAACAAACATTAGCAAAAGAACTAAAGAACATTGCATTTAAAGTATATGATCCAATAATACATGAACACACTAACCTGGTGCAATGTAACCACAAGAGCCCGCGATGACTGACATCGATTTCGTCCCCTTCCCAATCGCATCAACCACTTTCGCTACCCCAAAATCCGCCACACGAGCACCAAAATCCCCATCCAACAAGATGTTATTCGACTTAACGTCCCTATGCACAATCGGAGGAACACAATCATGATGCAAATACGAAAGTCCCTCTGCTGCATCGCTAGCTATCTTATGGCGCGTAAGCCAATCCAACAACCCACTCTTGTTGCTATGAAGCAAATCGCCCAAACTTCCATTAGGCATGTACTCGTAAACCAAAAGCTTACAATCCCTAGTAGTACAACAACACCATAGTTTCACAATGTTTTTATGCCTAATCTTCCCCAATGTCTCGACCTCTGCTTCGAACCCATTGTCTTGGATTTGACCCTTCTCGACATCACCACTCTCATCCACCATTTTCGACCCTCCCCAAAGTTTTTTCACAGCAACAGCCTCACCATTGCTAAGAACAGCTTTGTAAACTTTCCCAGAAGACCCACTTCCAATCACATTATCCTCATCAAGACAATCCAAAATTTCATATTCACTAAAACCCAATTTGTGAAACGACATCAATGTCCATTTTGATTTGTCAATTGCTCTGCTTGCTTTCTTAAAATTCCTGTACTTCCAATAGAACCAAACAACACCCACAATAAACACCAATCCAGCAAGTATAAAGATTGATCTAAGTAACCAAACATAACCCAAGTTTTTTGCTTCACTTCTGGTATCACACAAACCAGCTATGTCACCACACAAACCAGGATTACCCACAAAGCTAGACTTATAGATTTCCTTAGCATACAAAGGAGGAATATCACCTGAAAGGCGATTATTCGACAAATTGAGCTGATTGAGCTTTAGATTCTGCAACCCAAGTGGGATTTTCCCGGAAAATTGGTTTCCAGATAGATCAAGGTAGTTAAGCACAGACAAACTTCCAATTTCATCAGGAATATTCCCGGAAAAGTCGTTATCCGCTAAATTTAACTCATTCAGCTTCTTCCAGGAATGAATTCCACTTGGAATTTCACCAGATAAACCATTATTGTGAAGATCTAGCTTCCCTAACTGCCCAAGATTCACTATACTCGCCGGTAAAGACCCGATGAACTGGTTATCATTTCCGGTGAACTCCACCAAATTATCCAAAAACCCAATCTCGTCCGGAATGTTGCCGGAAAATTTGTTATTCGAGATAATTAAAGCAGACAAATTCCCAGCTCCGGCAATCGTCTTTGCGATTTCGCCGGAAAACGAGTTTTCGATCAGCTCGAGAAGGTAAACATGGGGTAGCCCCCAAAACCCCACCGGAACTTCGCCGGAGAAGTTATTGTTTCCCAACCGGACCCGAGTCAAGCTCCGGCATTCGCCGAAACGCGCCGGAATAGTGCCGGAAAACGAGTTGTGTATCATTAGAAGCTCTTCTAAAACGCCATTTTTGCACAACCCAGATGGAATTTCGCCGGAAAATTGATTGCTCGACACGTCAATCAATGACAATGGGGAATTTTTTCCTAGATCTCTCGGCAATGTTCCATTGAGTCGGTTTTCGAACAACCTTAGCTCATACAGATTTGGTGATTTCGCAAGACTTTCCGGTACGTTTCCTTCGAATTGATTCTCGTAGAGATTCAGCGATTCGAGTGGCAACGAACACAACTCGTCCGGAATCGTCCCAGTCAACCCGTTCATCGAAGCGTCGAGCAATCTCAATGCCGTCAAATTCGACCACCCACTCGCCGGTAACTCACCGGACAACGAGTTATTATACAGCTCTATTTGAACCACACTCGACAACCCAGTGAGCGAACTCGGAACCAGTCCATTCAAGTTGTTGACAGCCAAGTCCAAATCAGTGAGTCGTTTGAGCCGACCCAACGAGTCAGGAATCGAACCCACCAAGTTACACCCAGTGAGCCACAAGATCTCCAGGTTCGTCAAGTTTCCGAGCTCCGGCGGTATCCGACCAGGCGAAAACGGGTTGTACGAAAGGTTCAGCTGCCTGAGAGACGAAACGTTCCCGAGAAACGCCGGTACCGTACCGTCGAGAAGATTTTCAACCAGAGAGAGAACTTGGAGTCGCCGGAAGTTCCCAAAAGTAGCCGGAATCTGGCCGGAGAAGTTGTTTCCGGTCAAATCGAGGTGTTTGAGCTCCGGGAGGTCAGCTATGGAGCTGGGTAGAGAACCGGTAAGCAAGTTTTGGGCGAGATTGAGATGTTGGAGGCTCTTACAGTCTGTGAGATTTTCTGGGAGAGTTGAGTTGATTGAGTTGTTGTAGAGAGATATGGAAGTGAGGTTTTGGAGGCGGCAGAGGAGAGAAGGGAAAGGTCCGGCGATGTTGGTGGAAGAGAGGTCGATGGAGGTAACTGAATGAGTGGCTGAATCACAGAAAACTCCATACCAGTTACAGGGATTATCGTCTCTGTCATTCCAGTTTGAGAAAACAGCATCTGGGTCATCGAAATTGAGCTTGAGTTGTTGAAGATAGAGTCCCTCTTGGTTCAGAGAGTGACCCAGATGGGGATAGTGAAAGAGAAGTACTACCAGCAAAAGAAGAAGCATTATTGTTTGTTTCTTCTTCAGGATTGAACAGAGATTGAAGAAATGAACTTGGTTATTACAGACCCAATGTAAGAGTCTATATGTGGTGGTGTATAGTATACATACAGCTGGGTCCAAGAAAGATTCAAGAGAAGTACGGATCTCGAGGGGGGAAATGGAATCGGAGGGTTGAGTTGAGGGTAAATTGATACTGCAATGCAATACTACAATGGAGGCTGAGCAATTGTTAAATCAGAGACATTTTATATCGTGAAAAGTGTATGAGAGAGAGACACACACACAATGGAGTAGTGAGAGAGTCACGCATTAGCTGATGCTTTAAGGGGGTTGGGCTGGGGGTGGAGATGGGAAGGGCTATAATAGCCGACAATTGTGTTATTTGAACCAGCGACTGCGTACACTCTCTGTGAGAGAGCAGGCAGGTGAAATCTTTATTCTTCGAATTTAATGGAGAGGAAGCATTTTGTTTCTTTCTAATTTGGTAAATTGCTTTTCTTTTTCTTTAAATTTTTAAGATAAATTCAAAATCGAATTTCAACGTGTTGATGGATTTTGGGAGTTCATCACAAAATCCACATTGGCCGTTTGTTTATGGAAGTAAAATGGAAGAAATTTATAACGAGAAGATTAATAATAAAGGGATTGATAGTGAAAGAATTAAGTAAAATTGTGTTTATTTTAATGATAGTTGTTAGTGTAGAAATTGTTAGATTATTTTTATATAAAATAATAAAATAAATAAAAAAAATTAAACATTAATGTTTTAAAAAAAATCTCAATATGTAAAAAATAAAAATAAAAAATTCTAATCCTTTCACTATTTTTCTAATACCACCTCTACCTCTTCCATCACAATTCCCCTTCCAACCTCCATCTTAATCCCCTCCTTCATCCTAATCTCTTCCCCAACTCTACAAACAAATACAACACTAAATAACCCCACATCCATCATAATCCCCTCCCATCCATTACACCTCAAAACAAATTGGGCTATTAATGATTTGAATGATAATATTTACGATTCGTCAAATATTTTGACTGTATTTGGTGTGGAGTTCTAATCATAACTCTATACTCATATTTGAGTATGGTGTTTAGTTATAATTTTTAAAAATTAATTTTACATCACTTTTGAAAACTCATTTCAAGTAGTATTTGAATTTTGAAATTTGACCTACTCGATCGTCCTTCCAAATGTTCGGCCGGTTGACCAGAACAGTGTAAATTTTTATTTTTTATTTTTTTTTCAATTGACACCTGTTATTTTTTATATATTAAATAAAAATATGTTTTGAATTTTTTTTAATTTTTTATGAGTTTTGAACAAAATTTTGGGTTGTGTGTTTGATTATTAGTTATAAGTTTTTGAATCAAATATCATATGTCACACAATTAATCCAAGCTCAATTCAAAATTCTTTTCAAAACTATAACCAAAAAAAATTTTCACACTCAAATCATAATTTCAAAACCCACAAACTCAAAATACAACTCTATTCTCAAATCACAATTCTAAAACTCTACCAAACACAACCTTTATTCTTTCCAAAAATAACTTTAATCGGATATCAATAATAATTTGAATATATCAAATTTATGTCAATGGTAATTATAATTTTAAAAAAAAGGGTAAATTACATTGACACCCCTTAATATTTCTATTTAATACAGATCCCCTTCACCTTAGAAAATTACACTTACCTCTTGTCAAATTAAAATGACATATTCACCTCTTGATTTTTATACATATAAAATAATACAACAATTTAGATATTTTTTTCATGTCATTTTAAGGAAAATAACAATCATCTCCTTTAAATTAACTCACACAAAAGATTAACTTTTTTTTATTTTTCATATTTTTTATTTTTACTGAATTTTTTAATATTTTAAGCAATTTTATTTTTTTTGGTAGATATACATAATCTAGATATGTTTAAGAAGTATAATATTTTGTAATATAATGGTGAAGATAAAAATGAAAAATTATATTCACATATAAAAATTTATACAAAAAATATCATAAAAATATTGTGATAGTAACATTGTTGTAAATATAAATCATGTTTATGGATATTTTGTTTTAAAGTGAAAGGTCACCATTAAAATATATCATTGTGTTTGAAAATTCTATATAAAATTTATGTTTACATATCATCACTCAATAAGAATATGTACAAGTAAAATTTAATGATGGAAAGTTATAGGGGCAATTTGGGAAGCTAGCTAAAAGCTAACTTTTAACACATTTTTGGGTCACATCACCTCTCATATTTTTTACATACAAAAGGACAAAAAAAAGTCAAAAAAAAATCAAAAAGTCAACTTTTAGCCAACTTTCCAAATCACCCCATAGAATATTGTCATGATGATAGAATGAAAAATAAGTAGAAAAAAGGGTAAGATGGTCATTTAGAAAATTTTAGAGTATGGGATTGTTTGGGATGACCTAAGACCATCTCCAACGGTGAACCAAACCCAGCATCAGATTTAAATTTTGATGAAAAACCCACTTTTTCACGCTCCAACGGTTGCACCAAAGTCATACCAAAATGAGAATTCAGCAAAGAAGACATCAAACTGAGATCAAGACACAGATTTTACCAAATCACTGTTACTGACCGTTGAAAATGGTACACCGGTCGACCAACCGGTTGTCCGGCCGGTTGACCAACCGGTCAACCAGTAAAAGATTCAAACAGGAAAAAAAGTTCAAACCGTTAAAAAAATATATATATATATATATATTTTGCCTAACCGGTCAACCGGCCGGTCGACCACCCCGGTTGTCCCGAAAAAAGTTCAGAAAGTTCAAAAAAAGTTCAGACAATTCCCAAAAAAAAAAAAAAAAAAAATTTGGCATAACCGGTCAACCGGCCGGTCGACCACCCGGTTGTCCCGGGATAGATTTGGTGAAGGTGAATCGTTGGAGCCTGAAGTATCAAATTCAGGAAATGGCCATTTTTTAACTCAGATTTGGTGAAATTTTTGATTCACCGTTGAAGATGCTCTAAATAAGTGCATTTTTTGTCTTTTTACGAAAAGATTTGCAGAAAAGTAGAGAGATGGTGTGATGGAAAAAAGATAAAAAGATAAAAAGTGTGTACTTATTTAGGATAGCCAAACTTGGCCTAAGGATAATTTGTAATGAGATTACAAATCTCAGAGAGGAGAATGTAATCTTTTCAAATGTGAGGGGAATTTGTATTAAATATAAATCTTAGATGATGTTAGTGTAACTACCCAAAAAATAAATTATTGATACAAATATAATTCAATCAAATGATTATTAATATTCAATCAATATAATCTTTTACAAAAATAAAATATTTAACAAATCGTATATATTGAACGAGTTAAATTATTTGTGAAATTTGTGATGAGCTACAGAGGCCCAACAGCACATCCTAGTTGGCAAACCAACTTGAAAACGATTAAATGTTGGAGTTTTTTTTTTTTAGGGTCCCTGGTATTAAGACTTTATAGTGTAAAGGATATCTATGATTTTCATAATGTCTAAGGTCCCTCAACATTGATCCAGAAAAATTTCAGTCCAGAAAAATTTTAGCCCAGAGAAATTCTATTCAGAGAAATTCTGGACTGCACAGAGAAAATCTCACATTTCTTTGGACTTTCCAGAGAAATTCACTTCAACCCAGAGAAATTTCCCTCTCTAACTCACAGAAATTCACTGAAAACCAAAGAAATTCTCATCTCCAATCCAGAGAAATTCACTTAACCCGAAGAAATTCTCCCTCTCCAACCCAAACCAGAGAAATTCTTCCTCTCAAATCCAAAGAAATTTCAATTTTCTGTGATTGGGATGCCAAGTTCAAAAACCAGAGAATTTCTCTAGTTTCAACCTAGAGAAAATTCAGTTCAAAAACCAGAGAATTTATCTGGTTTCAACCTAGAAGATCACTTTTCTCATTAATCTACACTTAGCTTCAATTTCAATTTTTGTGAACTTAAGAATATAGGATTCAGATCCTCCAATACAACAGCACACCAACATTTCAACAATCAATGTATTGCTTTTTGTCAAAACATAACTGGAAATGGTAAAAGAGAACAAATACACAGAACTATATCGTGTAACTTAGAACAGAGTAAACAAAATAATTACTGTGTTAGATATAAACTGTAATCTTGAATAAAGACAACTTTACCTAGAAGAATCTTCAGAAGTGAGCTTAAGCAAAATACTATTGACGCAACCAGAACCGACCAAAAATATCACAGCCCATGGTTTTTTGCACTATGATATATAAAGATGATTAGCTTTTACCCATCCCAATAAGCCATCAGCATGTACAGTACCTATATCGAGTAGACAAGTCAAAAAAATCAACTTAGATGCAGGATCTGCACGCCGAACAATTTCACACGGCACCATAAACGTGGTAACTCGCGCCAATGAGCGTGAAGCTCACATTTTTGCACCAGTCTACCTTAAAAACACCAGCGCCAGAGAGACCACCATGGCCAACTGAGCTTAAAAAAATGGCCTTCCTAGACGCCACTCGCTGAAACAAGGTGTGCGATACACGTCGAAACCAACACGCTACATCTTTCTTCCCCACACACCATGACCACCAATGCAAACCCATAAACAAGCGCTACCACCGGCGCAAAAAAATCGACAGCATCAGAGTATAACCCAGCACCGTCGGAAGCGAACCTGTACACAAAAAACACATGTCCAGAGCCATGCGACCCAAGAATGGAGCGCGAGGGAAATAGGTTTTCGGTCCTAGATCCAGAGCTTGTGGGCGACCCGGTGGGCTTGGAGAGCGAGGAAGCCTTTGTAGTTGAGGTAGTGGGAGAAGGAGAGGTAGGGCAAGTCACGGATCCGAGCGGCGCGGAGGTCTGCGATAGTGGCGGAGTGGAGGGAGAAATCGGAGGAGAAGGTGTTGAGGAAGAGGTCGTAGAAGAGGGTAGAGGAGCAGAGCTTGTTGCCAAGGTGGACATTTCTCCATAACGTCAAGTAACTTATTTGAATGCCTTGGATCTCGAAGACTAGTGGGTGAGAGGAGAAGAGAGACAAAGACTCAAATTTCTTTGATATATGTTTAGGGACCTTAGACATCAAAACATAATTTTGTGGATCTCTTCCATTACGAAAAGTGAGAGAGGGACCCTAGACTAATTTTCCCTTAAATGTTATGTGATTATTGATAGAATTGCGGAAATAAATTTGGAGAAATACAGTTCAGTGTGTGTTTTAGGTTAGCTTTCTTTTAAACTTATTTTTAACTTTATTTTAAAAAATTTAAAAAGTTTTAGACTTTTACATTCAACGCCGAATCAAAAATTTAAACAAAAAAATAAAAAAAATAGTCAAAATTATTTTGTTTGGTTTACTGTTCAAATCATAATTTGACAGTTCAAAATTCAAAAACTTATTTAGTTTTGGGTTTTTAAACCTATATTCAACTCAACCATTTGAAACTTCTTTTCAAAACTCATAATCAAATGACTTATAAATTTTCAAAATTCATAACCAAATAAGTTTTAAATTTTTTGTTTTTTGTTTTTTTGTTACAGGAAAATTCTCCCACTCTCCCGCAGGTCCAGGGCAGCACCCTTTGGAGAGATCACCAAGGTGTCCTGTTGTCCGTTCTGAGATAGGGGACTATAATCTGGGAACTTGTCCCGACCTCCCAAGACATGCTCCGTTTAAGTCAGGACTCGAGCAGCGGGGGAGCATTGGGCCCACACCAAGTGCTGTGATAACAACAACTTGAGACTAACCTCCTAACTAACTGCCCTACGCCCAGGAGATTGCCCAAGGGATTTTGAACTTGGACCTAGGGTCTTAACCTTGTTTGGTTTATGTTTTAAATTTGACCTTGTTTGGTTTATGTTTTAAGATATTATTTCAAAAATAATTTTATAGAGAGAATTTAGAAAATTTAAAAATTTGTTTGATTGTATATTTTGAAAATAGTTTTAAACTTTGAGATTTTTTTTTTTTTTTTGAGATGATTTGATATCTTTTTGTAATTGAATATATGGACGTGAGAGGAAAAAAAATGATTGAAAAAGAGAGATGATAAATAAAAAATGATTGATTGATATGAAATAGAAATAAAAGTGATTTAAAATTTTTTTTTCTAAGTGTTGCCCAAATAATTTGATATGTTTTAGAGCATCCATAATGTACGCGATAGTGAGTGTATTAGTGTCAGTGGCCAAAATTTAGGGGAGACACAGTAACTTTTGAGTTCACAGTGGAAGTGTTAAGGAGTATGTTAGTGCCAGCTATTAACTTCTTTGTTAACTGTGGCTAGTATTTTAGCCAGCGAGACAGAGAGGAGGGACGTGGGAAAGAGAGAGAGTTGTGTGCTTGGGGAAATCCTCTCGGACGTCCGGTCGGAAGTCCCCCCAGACGTCTCCCCGGAAGTCCACCCAAAACGTTCGGACCCTTCAAGAAAAGGGAAAAAAATTGGGTCTAACCGTCAACTGAATTTTTTATTTTTATTTTTTTACTTGTTGAGATTTTTTTTTGGACTTGAAATTTAATTTTGGGCTTGAAATTTTTAATTAAATTAAATTATTTATTTATTTTATATATTATATATATACATATATATATTCTTAATACACACCTTAACACATTCCTTAACACATCTATTGCACCTCCACTCACTCTCTAAAATTAACAAACTCTTAACACATCTTAACACACATTTTTTAGTCCCACTTTTATCACTTTTTCTCATATAACATACACTTTAACACATTTTTTTAGCCATCTCACTGTGGATGCTCTTAAATATATATGGGCAATCCAAAAAAATATACATAAACAATAAACAAAATGTGAAGAAATGAAAAACGAATATAATAAATATGAAATATTTTAAATATATGTAAATTGAGTAGATATAAATAAATAAAAAAAAAATCATTTTAAAATTTTAAAAATGTTCTTATATACATATAAAACTTTGCCCAATAGATTATATTAGATTTAGTTACAAAGGACATGTAGATTACATATGTAAAATAAGTAAATAAAATAAAAATAAAATTGAGTATAATATTGTAAAAAGTTTTGACTATATATGTAAAATAAGTAAACAAAATTGACTATAATATTGTAAAAAGTTTTGACTACATGTGTAAAAGAAGTAAACAAAATTGATATTGTAAAAAGTTTTAAATACATGTGTAAAAGAAGAAAACAAAATTGCCTCTAATATTGTAAAAAGTTTTGACTACATGTGTAAAAGAAGTAAACAAAATTGACTATAATATTGTAAAAAGTTTTAACTACAAGACACAAAAAAATCCAAAAAAAAATCCAAAAAAAAATCTAATTAAAAACTAGTTTTGAAAACTCCTAACCAAACAAGTTTTCAATTTGCAAATTTCTAAAAACTATTTTCAATATACAATTCAAAAACTAGTTTCGAAACTCATAACCAAACAAGTTTTAAATTTTAAAAACACTTTTCAAAAACTTATCTTTTAGAATAAATTTCAAAATTAAACCAAACGGAGCCAATAGAGTTTTTTTGGTTTAATTTAATTTTTTCAATTTTTTTCATTGTCTACACAAGACAGATCAAAAAAATAAAAATTAACATAATTTTGAAGGGAAAAAAAAAAAAAAAAGAGGTCACTAAACATAATTTTGAAGGGGAAAAAAAAAAAAAAGAGGTCACTAAAGACCCCCCCAAAAAAAAATCGAAAAAAGACATGACTTTTTTAGCCAATAAGCAAACTTTCCAAAACCTTTTAGTGTAGATTTAGAAAAAAAAATTACACATTAGTAGTAAAACTTATAAACATTAATAATTAAAATTTTAAACTTTTTCTTGTATTTATAAATAATTTTTCAAAAATTCATTGAATTACAATTTCTCCAATAAAATTTACTATGTGATTAAATAAGAAAGTAATGAAATATATAATGGGGCGAATTACACTAACGGTCCCTATATTTTAGGTTTTGTGTAATTTTGAACCCTGACTTTTAGTTGTGACACATTTGATACTGAATTTTAGATCTTATTTCAAATAATGATAATTAAATATACCATTACTCAATTTCAAGGGCAAAGTCGTCAATTTGATAAAATATAAACTAATTTGACAAAAATAAATGTCAAAAAATATTTTTAAAATTCTAAAAATTATTTCTACCCACTAAAGATAAAATTATGTAAAATTGATAAATTTTTTAGACATTTATTTATTTTTACCAAATTAATTATTATTATGTGTTTGGATGATAATCATATAATGGGTGATTATTTTTATTTTCATTAAATTAGTTTTTATTTTTTCAAAAGTCAAACTCGACGACAACTTTGATATCGTGGTGTTTTAGAAAGTTGGTAAAAAGTTAACTTTTTGGCTTTTTTAGTCTATTTTGTCTTTTTATGAGTAAAAAATGTGAGAGGTGATGTGATCCAAAATGAATAAAAAGCTAAAAGCTAGCTTTTTATTTGCTTCCCAAAACACCCCATCATTATTAAACCAATCTATTATTTCAAAACTAAAAATATTTCATATATTAAATATATCGATTACACATTGAACAACCACCCATTACATTATCATCATCCAAACACATAATAAAAATTAATTTGGTAAAATAAATAAATGTCTAAAAGATTTATCAATCTTATATAATTTTATCTTTGATAGGTAGAAATTATTTTTTTAAATTAAAAAATATTTTTTTAACGTTTATTTTTGTCAAATTAGTTTATATTTTATCAAATTGGCAACTTTACCATTGAAATTGAGCAATAGCATCTTTAATTGTCCTTATTTGAAACAAAATTCAAAATTCAGACTCAAATGTGTCACAATTAAAAAATCAGAGACCAAAATGATGTGAGTCCCAAACTATAAGGACTGTTGGTATGATTCATCCTATACAATAAGAAGGCAAATGTTAACAAGTGTTTCATAATACTTGTTAATATTATGAATGTAATAAAAAATGTATTGAAAAAGTGTAAAAGAATTAAAAAAATGTATTAAATTTAGTGTAAGTGTATCAAGATTTACATATTTTTTGTTTTCTTGTGCCATGCTTATTAGGGCATCTTCAACGGTTAACCAAATATTTCATCAAATTTATGTAAAAGTATGACGAATTTCTCTATCTGATATTAGCCACTCTAACAGTGAATTTGTAGCTGTCAACAAAACACAAGTTGTCCGGGGTCCGGCCAGTCAACTGGCAAGAGTAAATGAAAAAAACATGTTTCCCTCCATTGCTCTGACAGTCCAAACCATTGCTCTGGAGTGTCTTACTTCATTACCTGAAGCCCCTTAACTATCCCAACTGAAATCCGAAGCCTTGTTTCCCAATTAAGCTCCAACTGGTTCTCCCTCACTCTGTTCATGGCATCTTCAAGGCTACCATTTGGAATATAGTTATAAACCAATGAAAACCTATTGGGTTCGCGAACGAAAGCTCTTAAACTCATCAAATTCCTATCTCTTAACCTAGCAATGGATTCCACATCCTGCTGCATTCGTCTCTTAACTGATTTTCTTGATCCATTTTCAAAGGATTCAAGCCTCTTGACAGCTACTGTGAGCCCATTATCAAGAACAATCTAGAAGTAATTCCCATTATGTAGTTTGTCTTGTCCATGAAAAGCATAGACCTTAACATCAAGAAGCAAAGTAGAAGCTCAAAAATCAAACAAAATCACATGTATGTTCTATTGTAACTCATGAGAATGCTTTTTTGAAACTTCAAAAAGTAACTGAAATTTCCAATTTTGGCTACAAAAGAGAATGAAAACCCAAGACTAGGGATTCGCTCAAATGAACAAGCTTTACCCAATTGTAAAATCTGAGAAAAATCGACCCAAGAAAAAAATTAAGAAAATAAAGAAAAACTACCCAAAGCTTCAATCCCTAAAACACTACATTCACATTCAAAGTTTCAAAAAAACTCCACAAAGAAAAGGTGTTAGTGTTATTCAACCAATTTGCAAAAAAAAAAAAAAAATGAGAATAAAAACAGAACTCCAAATGAAGAGTTGCAAAATGGAGTCTGGCTAAAGGAGCCACAGACTTAGAGAGGGTGGTTTTAATTTTCTTGGCAAGAGCTTGGAAATAAAAATAAAAACCCCCAAAGACATTCCCTCCATTGCTCTTATAGTGCTCCAAAGTGTTTTTGGTCGTAAGACATTCCTATTGACAGTCTAAATCATTGCTCTGTTCTGGGAATTGTTCAAGTAACAGGATGATTGGAGGGGCAACTGGCCGGACGTCCAGCCGGTCTTCTAGTAGGTCACAACCGCAATGGTCATGCATAGTAAAATGGTGAAAGGTGCCTATGTCCTTAGTTTGGTGAAACATTTGTTATATTCTCAATTTGATACAGATTTAATGAAACCATTGGAGCACAAAAAGTGAGCCTTTTTCATCAAATTTGAATTTGGTGATGGATTGGTATAGCCTTGGAGATGGCCTTAGCAAAACCCTTATATTTGATTAAGGACAAATTTGGCAATAAGTTATTTTAGTCAAAAAAATCACTATAGAAAAGCCATCTACTTTCTCTATTTTTATGTATATCTTTTCGTAAAAATAAAAAATTAACTAAATTAACTAACTTCTAAAACAATCCTAAGATAAAATAAAAATATATATACTCTGTTTTTTAAACAATGAAGGTAAAAAATACATATTCTAATTTTATTTTATTTTTTTGAAAGGTTGCATATGTTATTATTTAATCATTATTTTTTTCTCTATTTAATTCTTCATTGTAGCACTTGTACCCTTTTAAAACTTTTGGAAAGTGTATTTGAATCCTTTATTTTGTTTTGGGAATCTTTGGTGTTACTGTATCTTGATTTTAGAGGAGTACAAATTAATTTAAACTTGTTGGAATTGTTCGTTCACGCTTGTTTACGTTAAAAAGTTGTTTGGAAACTTATAAATTCTATTCTAGGGTCGACACCAGCCTTCCTAAGGGTCGACCCTTACATGTTAGTGAAGTTTCTAGGTATGTTGCTAGAAAATAGGGTAGACACCAGACTGGAGAGGGCCAACCCTCTTATGTTTGTGTGTTAGTTGTTGGAAGATAGGGTAGACACCAGACTAGGAGAGGGTCGACCCTCTTATGTCTGTGTGTTGGTTACTGGAAGATAGGGGTCGACCCCCTCCTGTCTAAGGGTCGACCCGTACGTGTTTTTTCATATTTTGAGGTCCGAATGGGCCCTATCTAAGGGGTTTTTGGGCCTATTATTTTATTTGCCCTAGGAGCTATTTGTTACTAGTATAAATAGACCCAAGCCACTTTCCTCTCATTACTTTTTCTCCTCTTTTTCTCTCAACCCGTGATTTCTCTCTTCTCTCTTTAAAACTTAACTTTTCGCACTTAGATCTTCAGATCTACTTACCTAGAGCCATCTTTTCACCTTGGTCCTTTGGGAAAGGTTGTAGATCTTGTCAAGGGCTTTCTATTGATCCAAGTGGTTCGTGGTTTCGTCGCCGGTGATTTTTGAGTTGTTTTTTCTTCGCCTTAAGAGGTAGGGATTTCTTTGCTCCTTTCTAATACTTCGTCTATAAATAGACATGTGGTAGATTTTATTGCATAAAAACCATATTCATTATGGATTTTCTTGAAAGCCATGAAAGGGGATCGAGGGTTTGATATTTGTGATTGGAGTTGTTAAGTTGTTTGTTGTTGGGTTGTTTGGGAAAAATGATTTATTATGTTTGTGAAGAAAGGGAGGAAAGCCCTAATTTAATGTTATTGAGTTAATGGATTGAAAGGGAGGAAGTTGAATAGTCCTTGTATTTTGCTAATATGGGTTGTATAATTATGTTTATACCAAAAGAAAATAAAAAGAGAAATAATCACAATGTTGGCATTGTTTTAGACAAATCATGTGAAGTTGAGTTGCGTTATGGTTTTGATACCAATGGAATTGGTTTATAAAATAAAGATGACGGATTTGGTTTTAGTTTTGTAAAATGATGAGAATGAATTCTTAGAAAATGGTTGGAGTTGTGTGGATTGGAAAAGAAACAAAAGTGGTCTTTTTAAAAGAAAATGAAATCATCACCCTTTGTAAACGAATAATGAACTTGAAGTTGGATCTTGGAACCTTCACATATTATCATTATTATTGGACTGAAAGTTATGCGAGAATTGGATTTTTGTTTTCCTTTCGTATTAGCTGTAGAAATCGATAGATATGAATGTAAATGGTGGGGTTGGATATTTGAAATCTCTCACCTATGAAAATATGGATAGTTTATCCATTTTGGAGATTGTATATAAGTTTAGAAATATATGTTTTGAGCTATCGGTGGAGGATAGCTATGACTGTTGTAGAAATTGCATGTGGACTAGGTGAATTGAAATTAGTCACTTGTGCTTGTCATTGAATATGACTATAATTATATACATTGAATATGTATGGTTGTTTGGGAATGTAAAGGGGATGTACTCTATATGTGATTATGTGTTTATATACATTGTGTATGTATTACACTTATGTTGTTATGCATTCTAGTATGTTGAAATGGTTGGGAATGTGCTTGCGCTTAGAATGAAAAGTACCAGTACTTTCCCGTTAGCGCCTAGAGAACTTGGCAGCGCTAAGAATGAGAGGTACCAGTACCTTCCAACTAGCGCCTGGAGAACTTGGCAGTGCTTAGAATGAGAGGTACCAGTGCCGTGGAGAACTTGGCAGAGGTGTATCCTTGACTTGGCATTTTGTTATGAAAAGGTGTATCATTGGCTTCCTGTGCTTAAGGCAGGTAGAGCATAATGTATTTATCATTATTGTCTCAGTGTATCTAGGTATATCATGGGTTATGATGGTTATTGTTCTAGAAGGTCGCGTTGCCTCAATTGCTGAAGTAGATAGTCATTGATTGCTTGTTGTTTTCCTTTTGTATTAAAGACATATTTGTATAGTTATGAATGTGTTGGGAACGAACGTAAGAATTGTGTTGAGATGGTGAAAAATGTGAAAGACTTTAAATGCTTGTGTGAACATGATTTGAAAAAGCAAATCATGTATAAGTTTGGAAAGTGAGAAAAAACATAATGGGCATGGTAAAATTATTTTCTTCAGAAATTTTGTTATAGTCATATGAATTTTGGAAAAAGATAACAAGAAGAAAGAAAAGTGAATTGCTTATGTTATTGGATGAAATGAATGACTTTGAGAAAAATTACTATATAAGTATTTTTCTGTATAAACCGCCACATCATGTATATGATATGATTTAAAGTATTCATGATCATGGCTATCTGTATGTTGTTATTGTTTAGGATCATATTGGGATCCCTATTGGACTTTATGTTCATCTCACGTTGCTAATCCTTTTTCAGGTGAACGTCGAGAAGGGTTTCAAGATCGAGGATCTTCTTTATGTGTTGGCCACGGTGCCTTTTATTTGTGGGCGGAATGCCATTGATGTAAAATGGTTAAACCCTTTCTTATACTTTTAAAGATGTAAGTCTACGGGAATCTTTATTTATTCTTACTCGTTGATATAAAGAGTTTTCCGCATGTTGTCTCTGAAATTGAATTAAATTAATGAATCTGGTAATGGTTCCAAGAAATAAAAAGTGAGGCGTTACATTCATAGCGTAATTAAAATTATGAGAAAGATAACAAACGCATTATTGTCAAAACAGGACTCTTAGAGCATCTATAAGGAGAGAGAGACAAATCGTTAGGAACTTTTGCTAGTGAACCATGTTTTCTTCTCCTCCAACTAACTTTGCAATAAGCATTTTATCCATTTTGATTCTCACTCTCCACATCTAGCCAACTTTCATTGATAGGCAAATGTTGTTTCCCGCTGAAAAGAGGTCTCCAAATATGTCAGTTTAGCCAAAACCAACTGATTTCCTTTCTTCCTTCCCTCCTTTCCTCCCTTCCTTCCTTCCTTTATCATCATTTTCTAGAAAAACCTCTCCAAAACAAATCATTTTTTTTTATAAATGAAATTCACCAAAAAAAAAATTAAAACAAAATTCACCACCAAAACTTTCAAATTTTTGTTAAACAAAATCAAACAACAACAATAATGTATGCACATATCGATTGCATCAGATATTAGACAAGGTGGATGTCCTAGGGATGACCTCACTAGTTTAGATTGGTTGTCTTTGGAGATGTCTTGATCTTGGTTGGGATTGTGTCAAAATAGCTTTGTATCATTGAATTGTGCCAAAACATCTCCAAGGGGAGAAAATATTATCATTTGAAAATATGATGGTATAAAAATATTTTTTTAAAAATAATTTAATATATATATTTTTACAAAAAATATTTGCAAATGCCATGTCAATATGTGTAGCATGTCATAAAAAGATTATTTATTCAGTTATCTATGTTTATAATATTTTTATTTTTAAAACTAGTTAAGTTAGTTTGATTGATTAACTAAAATAAAGAGTGTGGTTCAAATGCACACTAACTAAATTAATTAAACAAAATAAAGATGGTACTTTTATGTGTACTTTTGCAGGGCAAATTGTCTCTTAGCCTTAGAGATACTCTTAAACCATGTTTGGTTTCTATTTAAGGAAAAAAAATCTTTTTTTTTTAAATACAAATCAATTTGATAA